GTTGAGATCCTTTTGAGTGAATATGTGTTTCAAACTCTTATGATCGGTATAGATCTGAAAGGTCGCTCCGTATACATAATGGTTCTAGGTTTTCAAGATGTGTATGATTGCGGAAAGTTCCAAGTCATTGGTGGGGTAATTCTTCTCATGATTCTTTAACTGTCTGGACCCATAAGCTATGACCTTCCCATGCTGCATCAGGACACAACCCAAGCCTAGATAGGAGGCATCACTATAAACTGTATATCCCCTCGATCCACTCGGTAAAGTCAGTACGGGTGCAGTGGTCAGCAGCTCCTTTAATTCTGAAAAACTTCTCTCACAGTCCTCATTCCACTCAAACTTGGCATTTTTCTTTGTGAGTCAGGTTAGGGGAGCTGCTAGACTAGAGAATCCTTCGACGAACCTGCGGTAATAGCCTGCCATTCTCAGGAAGCTATGGATTTCATTAACTGATGTCAATTTCTCCCAGCCAAATACCGCTTCAACCTTTTTGGGATTCACTAATACTCCTTCCTTCGATATGATGTGTCCTAGGAAAACGGTCTGTTCAAGCCAGAATCCACACTTACTCAACTTTGCATATAGCTTCTTTTTTCTGAGGACCTGCAAAACTTGGGCTAGATGGTGAGCATGCTCTTCTCTGTTTTTTGAGTAGACCAAGATGTCATCGATGAACACAATAACAAATTGATCCAAGAATTCTCTGAAGACCTTGTTCATCAGATCCATAAAGATGGTCGGCGCGTTGGTTAGCCCAAATGGCATGACCAGGAACTTATAGTGTTCGTACCTAGTTCGAAAGGTCGTTTTGGGGATGTCTTCTGTTCTTATTTTCACCTGATGGTAACCTAATCGCAGGTCTATTTTGGAGAAGACCTGCGCACCCTGCAGCTGATCGAAGAAATCGTCAATTTTAGGAAGGGGATATTTGTTCTTGACTGTGACCTTGTTCAGTCCTCTGTAATTAATACACAGTCTCAATGTTCCATCTCCCTTTCTGGCAAAAGTGACTTCGGCACCCCAAGGAGACACACTGTGTCTAATAAAACCACTGTCTTGCAATTCATTGATCTATTTCCTCAGCTCTTCCATCTCAACGTGGCTCATACAGTAAGGAACAATCAAAATGGACTGGGTGCCTGGTTATAGGTCTATAGTGAACTCAACTTCCCTATCCACTGGCAGTCCGGATTCTTTGTCCAAAAATACATCTGGAAAGTCTCGGACTACCGAAATCTCTTGGATACAAATTTCCTTCTTGGGCTTGCCCTGTACTACGTCCGGGTTGGCATCGGCATCCTGCTGTGTGAGGTTGTAAACCCTGCCCTGAAAAAGAGTTCTTCATTGGTTCTGGTTCCTCGGACACTCTCTCGCATAGTGCTAGGCACTACCACATATGCGACAGGTGTTGTTGAGGCGATAGCATGGTCGGTCCCCATGATCCCTGCCGCAGTGCTAACAGATTTTTCCACGTACTGCCCCTAGAGCCTGAGAGGGAGCCTAGATCGCCGGTCTTGGCCTCTTATTTTGTTGGATCGGGGCAGTAGGTACTGGTCTGCGGGGTGGAGCTGAGGGTCTGTGACTCCCTGCTGATTGAGAAAAGGTGTTGAAACTCCTCTCCACGATCTGAGGGTACTGTGGAGGAGCAGGCTCGTGCCGGGGTGGCTCGAGATCTGCTCACTGTAGTGGTGGCTCAACCTGTGGTAGTGGGGGAGGGTCGGGTAACTCCCTTATCTCCTCTCGGCCTTGCTGGGCAGCAATGATCCTTTCTAGCATCTCAAATATTCTGTCCACATCTTCCCGAAGTGAATCATCCCGGGCTGCTCAGTTTAATGGGAGTCTTCCTCTACTCATCTCTCAGCACTTGTTTCACAAAGAAGGGTTGAGTAACGATTAATCGGTTGGTATTTCTCTAAATATTATTGTGTAAAGGATGAGTCCGAGGAACGCGGCTCTGATACCAACTCTAACGGCCCCGGAAATTAAAAAAAATGTATATATTTATTCTAAGTGCGGAAGAGAGATAAAATAGATAATTATTAACATCACTTACACAATAATCAAAATGTATTAAAGATATGAAAGAATAAACTAACTGAAGGAAATACTGTGAATGAATATTATAAGGAAAACTAATAAATCTTTAGGCTTCTATTCGCCGTCTTCCTGCGGAACGGGCTCGGGAACCAAGTCCTCCTTATCTGAAATAGTTAAGTAAGGAATGAGCTACACTGATCCAGTAAAGATGTCACATTATCTCACTGTAACAGTAGTAAAGGTTGGTAGAAAACAAAAACGACCAATGGAGCATAATTCATAACAAATTCATTTATCAATAATAAAACCCTTTACTGTCCACTTATCTCGGTGAGATTCATGAAAACAACTTATGAAAATAATGACATTATAAACATTATAAGATCATGCACACTCTGTAACATAACACATATCATACTTTTATATTTCAATCATCAGACAACAAATTTCCTCTTTTATCAGCCTACTAATATCAATGGGGATCCATAGGGGTCCCCGCTATACGTGAACCATTCATCTTAATTCTAGGGCCGTCCCCATACCCCGTCCGGTATGGGCGCCAAAACCATAAACCTCAATACCCCATCCGGTATGAGGGTGAAGCGGGTCGTCCCCATACCCCGTCCGGTATGAGCACCAAAACATTTAAAGTCTCTATACCCCGTCCGATATGAGAGACCCCGTTCCCGGCAGGATTCCCTATGGACCCGGTCCGTCCATCGTCTCCCAGGATATCTAATGAGGGTGTCGACTTATCCATTTATAAATTCACATACCCTTTTCATTTTTTTTAGTCTCAATTACCTAATCAACATGAATACATAAACCAGTAACGCACACCAAACAAGGCAACACAACAACGGGTTCACAATAATTCAAACTATAATAGATTAAACAGTGATTTATGCATACGAAACCACAGAATAAACAATCAAATACTATACTACATTTAGACTGTAAAATATATCAAACAGGAACAGACCGACAATTACATCAGTTTCGGGCCCCATTAGCAATCTTAATTAATTATACATATCTATTAATTCACAAAATACCATTATATCATTCATTAAGCTTTAATACCGTGATAAGAAATAGAGTGAGGGATCCTTACTTGTTTCGGAGTCTGAAATCGGATTCTCACTACGCTTACGGGCGGTCCCTAGATTCCCTGAATTTTTTTCCAGAAACTGAAACACACTTCCGGTACCTGCACATGTCCCCAAAAAAAACTCCAAATCAGACCCAGGGCCTTTTCGGCCAATTTTGGAATTCTGGCACGGCGGCTCCGCCGTGCTCCGGCGACAGCGCCGCCACCCACGGGGCGATCCGTCTCGAATTGGCCGTTTTCAGCCGAATTCGGCCAAACTTGCATTGGTTCCTATGATAAAACACCCCTAGGGCCCTCGGTGGGCCAAAACATTCCAGAAAACCGAGACTTACTGGCGGCAAAGCTCTCAGGTGCGGCGGCTCCTCCGGTGCGAGTTATGATTTGGTGTTTTGCTCCGGTCAACTTGTAGAGAAAAGGATTGTGGTTACAGTGGTGTAAAAATTACATCAAACGGGAACTGGGAAGGGCCTCATCGGAGGCAAAAATCGAGGGAACCCGCAGCGGCGCCGCTGGACTTCGGCGATGTTTTTCGGCCAATTAGCTGATGGTTTGGCTCCGATTTGGCCACAGGGAGGTTCAGCATCGAAAAACGAGCCAATGAGAAAAATTTTACCTTGTTTGGTGGCCGGAAGGTGCTTCGGTGCGGTGGCGGATGGCGGCGGTCGGTTCCTCCGGTGGCTTGGTTGTCTTCTCCGGTGAGGGTTCTGGCGGTTAGGGTTTGGGGTTAGGTGTGCGTGATCAGATCTAGGCCGTCCGCACGCGTGAGATCTGGGCCATCCATGCGCACTTTTGATCTGGGCCATCCGTGCGCGCGGGAACGGATCTGAGTCGTCCGATCGCACGGACGCAGATCGCCCACGTTTCTCCGTCCCGCTTCAGCGTCCCTGCCACGCAGCATGTCCTGGTTGGCCGGGGCTGCTGATCGAGCTGCTGACGTGGCACAATTTTTCTAAATTGTGTTTTGACCTCTGATTTTCGATTTTCTTTTCAAAAACATACCCATATTCTAAATTTTCACTACTTTTTCCCAAAATCAATTTCAATTAAATCACAAAAATAAATTTACCCCATTTTATCATTATTATTATTTTTATTTTTATTAAATTAAATTAAATTAAATTAAAACCTTATAAATTAATTATTAATATAAAATAAAATCAAACAAAAATTCTAATAATAATAAAATAAAAAGTTTTGGGTATTACACTAAATACTTTATAGTTTTCTTTATTTTTTTCATTTTTTATATTTCTTTCAAAGAATTTGTTCCATGATGTTTGTTAGTACTTTTGAGTTATCATGTAAGGGATGTTAATTTTAATTTTTTATTTCGCTTCCGCACTCAGATTATTATATATATTTTAATTTAAATTTCTGGGGTCACCAAAACTTACCATATACGCGTATTTCTTTCCTCTATAAACTTTCTTTTTTTTTTTGTATTTTGAACATAACCTAATAAGAAAAAATTAAATTTCTATATATACTTTTTCATTCATGAATATATGTATCATCATTCAACTCAAATTATTAAATGTATAACAGTAACATTATATCATTTGAGTATGTAGTACAGAGAATAAATATTGTCCACATAAATCTACTACTTTCTATGAACCACCTCATCATGTCCAGATAAAACCAATCCGGTTACGTAAGCTCTTGCATCACCAGTTGCCAACTTCTATCCATCACTGTAGACTACGGGTTAATTCGAACCTTCGTG